TATTCAATAAATTCAACGAATTAATATCGACATGTTAGTTTAGTTGGTCACATATCAACACATAGTTTTGGTATCAGTAACAAAATTTTGGTTGTTCATACTAAACTTTTCTCTCAGTGTAAAAAATATATTTTATTAATACTAAAAAAAATTACGTTAAGCTATCGTGTATATATATATATATATATATATATATATATATATATATATCGATGGTGACGGCGTTGATTCGGAACTTCGAACTTGTCGACGGAATCTTCGGCAGGATATACGCACGGATGATGGTGACGCATTCACTGTCAAAGGCGCGGAAGTGAGAGTCAAAGAAGTCCCGGAATCGCCTTCGGCTGGATAACTCGACGTCACGCGTGACAAGCATGCGCGGGTGTATGCGATCTTCCACGATATATATACGTGACATATTGTTTTCGCGGGTGCACTACTGTACGAAGGGGAGCTTGCACGGCGCTCGTTTTGCACCTCTCCACCCTAACCCTCCTCATCGTCCGTTCTCGCATTCACCCTTCCCGCCCTCCCGAGTTCGCAGTGTTCCACGAGTGGGCGTTATTGTGTTACGATGTGTACCACGGGGCAGACTTTCTACGGCGCTTCTCCGTGCCACGGATTCGGGCGCAAACGTTATTATTTTTCGCAATTTGCTAAGCAGATGCTCTCCATTGTGACGGCGCCGCGCCGCCGTCGCCGCCGGTGCCGCTCCGTTGCCGGGAGTTTATTTTCCCGGCTCGTCTCCAGCAGTCGTCGACGTTGCGATATTTCGCCTCTGCTGGTGCAGCGGAACGAATTTTTTTTTACACGCGAAATCCGTGCAATCGTGAAATCTTTATACCCATGTATGAACCCAAATAAGCGAAAGGGGGAGAAAGAGAGATAATAAAGAGTATACACGGTGAAATAGAAAGTTAGTTTTAGCACTTTTTGAACAACTTAGTGAATAATTATTTTAAGGGCATTAGAAATACTCTTTTATGAGAAAAATGTTTTTACATTTCACATTTAACTTTTGCAATGTACACACAGATTAATTATAACATATATAAATACAAATATATGTACAGATTGGTTATAGAAGTGTCTATTTGTATTTTATTATAATTATAAATAAATAAATTTAAATAAATAAATAAATAAATTACAAATTGATTAATTATTGATAAATACATTGTAAATTTATCTATGTATAATTATGATTTTTTTTAATATGGCCACAAATATATGTGTTATATGAAACAAAAAGAAAAGAAAGAAAAGTATTCAAGTGCACAATATTATCTTCTTTTTCCACGTGGACATAAAAACTTTTTCAATCATTTTTGTTATTTCTGCGTTTTGCACAATCCGCTTTTTGGTGAATTTTTAATCTTATCGTCAAAATTTTTATCTTAATTACATCGCCTAGGAAGTTCTTGTCCTTTTATCTTTGTATACAACTTCAAAAATGGTTACATCCGCGCGCACGTGAGCACGAATGGCGCGTATCTGCGTCGAAGGCTGAATATTTAAACCAACTTGCTGGCGCGCATTGTCTCACCCGGCGTCCCCATCTCAGTGGACTACACATACGCCGGGAAATAATGATCGCACCGACCGTCTAGGTCCCTTTCTTCTCGTCTCCTCTTTTGCCGGTGTCGTTCGCGTTCTTCGTGCCCGCGACGCTAAAGCTTTCGCGACAAAAACGCCTGCACTATCGGCTTGAGATTGTACCCGGACCGTGCGTTTCTTTCTTCCAACGACGGTGCACGACAAGGAGGTGGTTGAACATGGAAAACGTTCGTGAGTTTTCTTCGCTGCGTACCTGCGTTTTACCAAGCAACGTAGACAAAACATTCTTCCTTTTTTTTTTAATCTTGGAATGGGTTGTACACAAATAAGATATATGATATATAAATAACTGATTTTTAAACATTATTTTGTTCTTATTTATAGTTGATCTTTTTTTTTATATAGTCATGTTTCAAATATAAAATTCTAGAGTACACGGAAAGAACAATTTTGTTGAAAGGTTTAAAAATTTTGCTAAATACAGATTTGAAAATAATTCTTGTTTAATCATCAAAATAATTGGTTGGAAAGTTAAAAATTATAAGCTATAAAGCGTTTTGATATTCTAATAATCATTGTGACTTTCCAACAAAATTATTTTGATTACTGAACAAAAATTATTTTCAAATCTGGATTTAGCAAAATTGTTCTTTCCGTATAGGAGAATTATATCGTTTCAAATACTTTTGTGTGTATTATGTGGTATTCCTATAGGGTTAACGACAACGCTACTGAATCGTATCCAGACCCGCTTGACGTGTTAAACTAGTTTGAATATAAACGAAGGGAAACAGACGCGCGAAGAAGCGGCAAACTGCGAAGTCGACACACCGTGAAGCCAGAAGTTTTAACGTTGTCGGTAGTCGTGCAGGCCGGTAGTCTCTTTTTCGTTTTTCTTGTCAGTCCTTTCCAAACATTCGTTCTTTTTCAAGTTTATCATCATTTCTGTGATCTTCGGCGCCACTGAAGTTACGGAGGAGCGATACTTTTGCGCCGAACTTGCCGCGATCGCTTTCATTCCAATTCCTCGACTTTCCGATATATAATACGTTTTCTTTTCAACAATCAAATATCTAATTATTAAGTTAAATAAATAAAAATTATATAAACATAGCATAATTATATCGTGTATAAGAAAAACATTTTTATATAAATTTTTATATAAATTTTTGTACAAAATATTTATGCTTTTATATTTTCCAAACCTTGTTAATAATACACAATGTTTTGAATAACAAAATATTTTGTATTATTTTTCAGATATACACTATGGAGGTGCGAACAGAAAGACCGCGGACCGCCGGTCGAATAGCACCAACCGGAAGAGTAACACCGACGGTGCATCAAACCGGTGGAGGCCGAAGGAAAGCTATACCGGTTCCACCACCTAGAGTGCCGACTCCCATGCCCATTGCAAATAATAATCAACAAAGGTAAGAGTATTTTAAAGCGCATATAACTGCAAACATGTTTATGCCGGAAGGAATAAATTCTCCAAAATTCGTAACCAAAATATCATATGTATGTTAATTACTGTAATTAATTACTAATATCACAGTACCTATTCGTATGGAAATGGGAACATGATTGCTATCGCAGAAATAAGCATAATTTGTCGATTACTCTTTAATACCTGCAGGATATTCATTTAACTTCACAAGCATTTACAAAAAACTTCGTCCTGAAAACTTTACCTGATGTGTAATATGCGACTTTGGGTACAAAGTTTGTTATGAAATTTAAATAATAATTAATATTACGAAGAATTGATCCTCTGAAAAGAATATTTCGGAATTGATCCTCTCTCGCATGCCGTTCGAGTCTGCAGTCGCGTAGAAACGTCCAATGTGGCAATGACTCGATACGTCTGATCCGCAAGTTCGAGGAACTTCATGTAGCGAGGATATATCGGGATCGTGCTTTCCGAACTCGCACGGTCACAGCGCTCGCTGGGGTGCCCATTCGATCGGCGACACGGCGCTCAACTTTGTCCCGCGGTTTAACAGCGGATTTTACAACGAGTTTCCAGTCACATCAATTCCTCGCGAGGATAAGTGCCGTTAAGCGCGCCCGCGCACCTACAGGTACAGCCGTGGATAGTAGTGGATCCGCGCGGATCTGGAATACGGTACGGCTGATTAAACTCAGCCAGGAAGCGCAAGGTCGTCGCTGCCCACTTCGTTGATCTCCTCCGACAATCTGTTCCAGCCTGCAAGCGCTGGCTCGTGCAGAACCGGGGATTTGCCCGCCACCGCTCGCGGATAATACCACCCCCGAGATGTTAAGCCTTCGTGGTTGGCGTATTTTTCGGGGTTGGTATTCGCCAGGCTTGGGATTTTCGAGGGTGGGTTTATCGGAGCGCCGCAAACTGCGCGTATAAGAGTCGAGCTTGATAATTGAAAAGCTAAGTGGATACACGACACAAAGGGATGATTACACTGTACTGACATGTAACGATTTAATTGGTGATTTTATTGGAGATGAATGTCGTATTTTTCACAAACTCGAAAGAACATGGAAAGAACAATTTTTGCTGTATCTAAAAATTTAGCTGGATATACAGATTTAAAAATAATTTTGTTGAGTCAAAATGATTATATAAAACACTCAAGCTGGTTGCTTGAAGAGCGTTAGAATGTTAAAACTTTTTGCGACATTGCTTATGCTTGAGAACGTTCTACATAATTATTTTGACGGTCTAACAAAATTATCTTCAAATCAATATCTATCTAAATTTTTATTCTCTAAATTTTTTGGAGTGAAAATACTGCCACTCGGCCATTCGAGTGGCAGTATTTTTACTCATTTGGAGTAAGATTCACTTCAAAAAAGTGAAAATTCACTCCAAAAAAGTGAAAGTCACTCCAGAAAGTTTAAATACTTCGGTAAAAATTTTATTTTGCTTTTTTTTATTTTGCTGCTTCTAATTTTATTTAATATGAAAATCTTATTTGGATACAATATATTCATTGAATTTAACGTGTTATTTTCGTGAAAGTATTTATGTACTTAGGTTAATTAATTTGCGACAAGTTTGCGAAATCGATTTCGTATTTTTCAGATTTCTTCCTCCTCTTTCGTTCTCCTCTTACAGTCTTTATGTTCAAGTTTGATAAAGGTCGTTCTAGAGTATGTCACTTAAGCGTACTGTCTAATTAAAGTTCTTCCCGTCTAATTAAGACGCTTTCCTTTTGCGTTTGATCCTGGAAGCTAACATCTTAGATAAAAGTCGCCGATAATAAGCGCCGTCGGGAGAAGCGAAGAAAGAAGTATATTCTTGCGTCTCTCGCTGTTAACGGTTGATCATCGGCATCTTGTGAACAAACGAGTTGCAACCTATAATTAATTACTACCCAATTACACCCTTTTCCTTCGATAAGCACAGGAAACGGGTAAAGTACACAGAGACATCGTAACGTACAACAGTTTTCCTCGGCTACATAATTGCGCCAATTAAATCACAATATTTTCTAAAGAGTAAGAATGAATGTAACATGAGATGTTTAGTAAAAAAAAAAAAATCGATTTATACAACGCACAATAATGTTTTATTTTTTTTGGCGATAACTGACCTAACAATTCGCGAAAATTTTCCAGTTGCAACAGCCTCGTCAACAGTCTCATAGGAATTACAAAGCTTGTCGGATTTCATATTCGTAATTATTCGGCTGGACATATGCAGAGCGCGACGTGTAATCGTTAAAAGACCTTAATCTCAAGCTTACGGTCCGGAGAGAGAGTGAAAGACAAATAGAAAAAGAGAGAGAAGAAGAGAATAATGGAGCGTAGAGCGAAAGGGCGGGGGTGAGTACAGAGATTAGGGAACTGGAGGTCTGATCTCGAAGAGTGGTTGTCTTCATTGCCGGAGTATTCATAAGTCGCCCGGGGTCGTATTTCTGTGATTTTGCTGCGCATTACGTTGCTGTTTTGCGTGAATAAATTTACATGTTACCCCGGTAATCAGGTTGTAAAACAGGATCTTGTTTGCACTTTGCATGATTTCAATATTACATTACATTATTAATGTAGCAATTAATGTTATATAAATTCGAGGATATATAACTTATTATATAACATTAATTATGTTGTGCAATTAATTAATATACAAAAAGTTGATAACTTTTTAATCAAGATTATTTTTTGACCAAGATATAAATTTTATGTGACAGTATTTCCTCAATAATGTTTTTCAATAATAAAGTTAACATTTTAATATTGAAGTTAATCATCACTTTTTGAAATAATTTTATAGCTATTGCAAAATAGCTATAATAATGTAGTTATAATTTTTATGGTAATTGATGTAAATAAATGTTTCTTAATCTGTTTTCTACAGTATATACCGCAAGCATCCATTTATTATTTTACTGATCCAGTTTTATTTTGAATATTTCTGTATTTTTTCTTGGACATATAAATTTATTATATTATATGTATAATTGAACATACATATATATTATACAATGCTGCGAGCTTATTAATTACGAGCGAGTGACTACTCGCCTCAGCCGCAAAAAAATATTCACGTTCAGTCTGAGTTACCGAGGAAAATTGAATGCACCGTGGTTAAATGCTGATCATTGAAATTCTACGATTTTCTGGTTCGCGGTATTTTTATGATTTCCGTGGCATCTCTTTTCCGATTCTCTCCTTCTCTCTATCTCTCTTCCTGTCCCCCCCCCTCTCTCTCTCT